AGAAGCTAATTCTACATCAACTTTATTTTAACAAACTTCCCATATGCACAAGATGTATTTACAGATTCACCAAATAAATCTGTCGTTTTTTTTATGTCTGACCATATTTAGCATCACTCCATTCAGTCCATAGAAATCATAGTACATATAATTGCTCGAATATGATCTATATTAACAAAACTAAGTATGTCCAAGTTTGAAACCACATTCAAAAGGAATCCTCCATAAAATGCATGTTGAATCCCAAAGAATGCTGCAAAATACTCCTAAAACGGTTCTTGCTAATGAGCTTTGAAGTAACAAATGTTAGATGGATGAGTAGTGCTGCTTAGCACCAGTCCACGCGGTAGCGTGGGCTTCACTAAGAGTGTTTATATAATCCACCTACTTCATATAAATTTCTGCTCACAGAAGAGATTATATTTACAGAAATGTTACATTGCTTACCATCAAAAGCCAAGGCAACAAGACTTAAATCATATGGATTATAGCACACCGAAACCATAATTAGATAAAAAGTTAAATTCCACAAAGTACAAGAAAATGAAACTCCAAATTAAGAACATTATATCTTCGATGTCTTATTCAACTTGTTTAGCAAAGAAAATTCTGAAACCCAAAACTATAAGTTCATGACAAAAACATAAACAGATGAAAGATCTTCTATAATAAACTTGATGATGGTAAGTTGCAGAACTGTTTCGTACTAAAGGACAAATGTTGCTGTTCTTAGTCAAACAGACTGAAGCCCATATCCTGAAAGAAAACCCAAATAGACCAGTTATAACAACAGATTAATTCATCCAATTTTATTAAGCTTTATATTAATAATCAAGAGAGTAAATTTCTTGATATGACATAAAACTTACATCATCAGACTCTTCTTTCTCTTCAACTTTCTCTTCTTTCTTTGTTTCAGCAGCAGCAGGTGCAGCGCCGCCACCTGCACCAGCAGCAGGTGCAGCAACAGCGACTGCACCACCACCTGATGGGACTGAAGCCAACTTCTCTCTTCCAGCGGCAATCAGTTCAGTTATATCTTTGCCCTTAACTTGAGATAAGAGCAATTCAATTCTCTCATCATCAGCCTCGGCTCCAACTGAACCAAAAAATTCGAACCAATTAATGACCATAGCTAGATAAGCTCAGACCAGCAACAAATTCCAACAATATCAGTTCATAACAGACTGATGCAAAAAAGGCAAACAGACAAATCAAATGTCAGTTCTCAATATAGTTAAAACAAATGTTCTAAAACGCCTAGCCACGCTATACACTTTTTTATGCCTAGGTTTCATCCAGGCCCGCTTAGGCATGTAAAAGCTTGAAGTTTGACCTTGCTGCTTAGTCACACTTTACGCTTTTAGAAGCTTAAACTGCCACTCCAGAAACAATAAATTCAAATTAGCATGCGTTTACCAGCAGGTCAATTAAAACTAAACCATTTATCAAAAACATGAGGACATCCACCAACCACAAAAGACACGTAAACAACTCTAGCACAAATATCTTTACAAGGTTTGAAGCCACATAATCACCAATGGAACCTACATTCATTTTTATTTTTTTATTTTTTTTTAAGCAATGGCACCTACATTCTTTCTATATCACATATTATAAGCAATTCACATCAGCACACAGTAATCCATGCATATTTCTTTCACTTGGTGCTGGAACATATAATGTCTAAGTACTATGTAAAACAAGATTTCGAGACTTAATGTAAACAAGGAATCTCTAATTGTCAATTATCCTTGCCCAAGCCAGCTTCAATTCAGAATTCAGATTCTTCGAATTGAGTGGACAATAATTCAGATTGGAATCTTTAATTTTGTCACTAATTCCATGTTGCCAAACTTTCAAAGTAATTTAACACACAACTTTTAAAGTTAAAACATTGGACTTAAGCACAGAACTATAATTAAGATACATAAGCAACGTAATCAAATTCCAAGTATCCAACAGATAAAAAGACAGCAACAAGAACTAAATTCGAAGAATCTAGCATCATTTCACCATATTAGTTGTGAACGTATAAATTTACACTAAGAAAATCATATAAAATTTCAAGTAACTGCCTAGAATACAATCATCAGAGACAAAGCATATAAGTGTGTAGAGAGGAGAACCTGAGGCAAGGATATCCTTCAAGTCATCGGCGGTGGGGGAGGTGTTGCCACCCAAACAAGCCAACAAGTAAGCCGCGATAATCTTCATTTCTATTCAAGAAAAAAAATTGTACAAAAGTAATTCACGAACCCAAACATTTGCAAACCTAATTCCCAATAAGTACGTTGGAAAATCCAGAAATATAGATGCAAAAAAATTAAAAAACAAAAACCAATATGTGCGTTTACGGTTAAAGATAAATGAGGGAATTCATATGTGGAAACCCACCTTATAATTCGAAGTGCGAAGACTAATGGATCCGAAATTCGGCAAGCTCTGCTCCTGGGTTTATGATGGCAGAGTTGATGAACACTTGATCTTCGGCGCTACGCTCCGATAGCAGATGGCAATTTATACCTAGGGATTTGGGATTTAGTTTTGTTTCCGGTATTGCCCTTGGGCTTGTGGGTTGGGGGTGAAAATGGGAGAGAATAGTGGCCAATAGCCGGTTGACCCGTCCATTTTTTCAAAGTGGCCTTTGACCAATTAAAAAAAAAAGAAAAAAAGCAAAAATGTTTAAAATATTGAAAATCAAGAGAAATCCAAATTTACCCTTACTATTTAAAGAAGAAAGAGAAGGTAGTAAGGAAAGAGAAAAAATACTGTAGCACTGATAAAAAAGGGAAAATAAACGATCCATATTTAATGTTTTTATGTTGATATTTGGAAGAAAAAAAATATGATTTTGTATAAATGTGTTGATTTTTTGAAAAATGCATGATTTTTGGGTAAGGATAATAGTTTGGGAAGAGGAAAATGGAGTGGAGATCGACGAAAATGGAGTTTTCCGGCGATCTCCACAAAGGAGACGGTTAGCCCAGCTGACTGGGCCGTTTAGGCATGCCCAGATGACCCAGACGGCCCAGTTGACTGGGCCGACTGGGCCGCCTGGGCGCCCAGACGGCCCAGTTTTCTGGGCCGACAATTTTCTAGGCCCATTTTTTTTTTAAAATTACTTATTTATTTATTTCCTT